TGCACCCTTGTACGATGGTTGAAACAGTATAGTAGTATAGAGGAGCATTACCCCCCCCCCCCCCCGCCCCCCACCCACCCTGAGCATAAGCTCTCTAGTCTCTGTCCGTAAATGCTTGGAGGTACGTGTATCCTATTTTGGCCTTCGGTGGGCTGGCGGATACCAACGAAGGCTCGCACATAGAACTTCGCAGAGACTTTGGCGTATTCAGCTATCGATAGAAGAAATCGTCAACTGATCGTGTTCATATCCATGGTCCAACACTGGGCCTTCAGTTTCAGCTTCTTGGCCCGGAGACGATTAACACCAAGCAAATGGTAGTGACAACAGGCGTCTGGAGTTTCAGTTCAGGGTTGGTTGTATGCCTGCCTAAATAATCTGGTGACCGTAGGCTGCACGAGCATCTTCACTGCTGCGAACCGACGTAGATTGGGCGAGGGCTTGCTAGAAGGTGCCTGCCTACCTTGACAGAGAAAAGAACACTCCCCCCGCAGCGTTTGCAAGAGTGGGCGTGGCGGGGAGGCAAGGCAAGGCAGGCCAGGGGATTGGATGATTGGATCCCAGTCTCCGGAGGCTCGAAGTCACTAAACCCAAGGCTCTGACTTGAAGCGTCTATTGAACCAAACGCTTTTTGCTCAAGCCCCGCAACTGTAAAGATTCCGGACCGGCGCCACACACACTAATTCCGAGTGTTCAAGAGCGAAAATCTTTGGGTTTAGGGATTTGAGCTGATGGGCTTTCTAGGACACACAGTCTAAGCAGAGGGAGCTCCCAGCACAACGAGGCAAGCTCCTGGCAAAGGGGGCCCCAAACCTCGATTAAGGCCCTAGCGCGAAAGCTAGGTGCTTGCAGGGTCGGCGCTGGGCGGTTTGATTTGCGACGAGTCTCTAATTCCAATTCCTTTTCTGGCTTGAGGAGTTAGGGTTGCGAATCAGTGTCGAGTGGCATGCTCTGCTTCAGTAGGGGGCGAAAATCCTAATTGGTTTAGGGAACCTTCCATAAGGTTTCCAACGGTCCGACTAGGTCTAGGTGTTCATTCGGGCTTGAAGGTTTCAGCATTCTAGATTTCTGTAGACTCTAGACTGGATCCGAACCTTTGCCGTGGAAGCCTCCTGCCGCAGGCATCATGGCCTTCAACGAGACCTACGTCCGACACTGGGGCGTAGTCAGTGGCAAGTTTCTTGTAGTTCATGGTTGTGTGGCCTTCTCAAGCCCTGAATCCCGGCACCCCAGGAATCCAGAGGCAAAAAATCTGGCAATCGACCTGTAACTTAGCAGTTGAATTACTGCACCTTAAACTTTTCGGATAATAAGATCCCTTTTTATACTGACAGTGTACGCTTTTTTGGGCTTATGAATTCAGCAACTAGGGTAACCCTTCTGTAATTGTAGAACCCTGAAAGATCTCACGTCCCAGCTTCCTTGCGGGACGTTTCTGGGCCAGAGGCCGCCTTTCATCAATGAGTAGGCACAGACCCCCCAAGCGACAGCCTGAACCTGTCCGTCCTTAGCCTCGAGCCTTGTGAGTGCGCAACAATTGACAATGTGCTACACAAGGATGGTTCTACCGTCTGCTCAAGCTGGAGCACAGTCTCTGCTACACAGCCCCACGACCCTCGGACGAACCACAAACTCAGGGCATGGCAGCTGAGTCTTTACAGTTCGGTTTGAGGCATGTGGAGTTGTTCCATTCAGTCTTCAAGTCTGCCTGTCTGTCGCCATGACATACAACAATACTTGAGATGCGGTGTGCACAAAGCTATGAACAATCCGTGCATGTCTGGTTTATGTCGTAATGCCATTATTCTGGTGGATAGGCGTGCCTTCAGATTCGGCAATCCTCACAGGAATTTCACACAAATCCAGCCAAGCCGGAAAGGCTTCGTGAAGCGCCTGCCAGGAAGATCTGGCCTAAGCTCTCTATCATTGTGTCAACGCGAGGGCACCGGCAAATTTGCTTTCTCACGAAGCAACAACCAAACACCCTAAGAAGCCTTCAGCAGCTGTACGAAACTCTGAGTCGCTCCTCCGGGGTCAAGGAGGCAATCAAGAGCAATACTGCCCCGCCATCCTAGCACAGCTTCTCAACTTCTCTACAGGTTTCTCAAACAGCAGGTTTGCGCTATTCCTCCAGGGGCGGGGGAGGCAAGCAGCAAAGCAACACTCCGCACGATGATCAAATGAACGGTGCCACTCGAGACATACATGTATGCACAGCGAAAGCATATATACAAACTGCTGACGAAAAACTTTGCCATCACTACACTGTTGTGGCTTGTGGCTGTCTGAATCTCCCTGCATCCCTGCCGAGTGTCGGTGTGTATGACAGTGGTATGGTTCGTGCCTTCGCACTCCTGCTTGCAGGGGCCATCTGTCTCACCGTCTTGTAGCATGAAGGCTTACGGTGGTCTGGTTCATCCCCTGGCACTGTCCGGGTTGCAAGGGCCTTTCGTATCATCGTGTTGCAGCATGAAGGCGAGCTCTGGCACAACTCTAGGTGCTGCTGGATCGCCTGGTGGTCTGGTTTATGCCGTCGCATTCCTGTGCATCGTGGTACAGCCTGAAGGCGAAGTTCGAGCAAGTCACATCGCCCTCCATCTTGTCAAAGCTCACGATGCCGATGGGCTTACCCGCGGCCTGATGCATGCCCCCAGCAAAAAGCACATCGTGTCGACGTGGATGTCGGAAGGCATGCTTCATGCACAACTTCAGGCAAACTCTCGTCATTGGCTCCTTGACGTTCCGTTTCGGAAAGGTGCCACGTTCACGGAACTCGGGCTCTGGCAATGCGCCTAGTGGCGCACACCTACCTGTGTGCGTCAGACCCAAGGCCTCCAGCGGTTGGGCAGCCCGACAAAAGAACTTAGCGGCTGAAAAGGCGAGCCTTCAGCTTCGTGGGATCACCGAACCCTCTTCAAACTTGAAAGTATACAAGCACTTGTTGGGCCTATGGACTGTGTAAATTAGGTAAACTGCAAAAACGGGTGCCGTCTACGTGATTCTTATGGTTTTCATGTCGAAACCTTCGAACCTGCGCCTTTTGTGGTAGGCCCTAGGCCCAATTCCTGAAGTATCGCTGAGTCGGCAAGATGTTCGACAGCCTTTAACTCCACAAACAGCTCATGAAGCCCATAGCTGAATCTGGAGAAATTTTTCAGGTCCCCAATGTCGGGGTTAGGAATTCCGCACAGCCGCGGTCCCCCCATGCCTGTTGGAGGATACAAGTTGACCTCACCCAGTGGACGCGCCCGCCGGCCGCAGAGATGTTTGGAGCGACCGTCCGGTCTCATAACTTGGCTTCAAGGTTTTCGAGTTTCATAAGGTGGCTTCCCAACTAGAAGATGTAATCTTTCAACCCTTTGGGGGCTTCGGGGTTATCAAGACCCGGCTTTTGTATGATGGGGTTTCCGGGTTGAAATTGTCACAACGCGCGACTCGGTGGCTTGAGGGCAAGGGTTGGAGAAGCCGACCCTTGAGGCTTCAGCCCGGAGCTCGGGACTTCAAAATCAAATGCCCACGGTGCGCAAGAGTTGAAGAGCTCGTCGAAGCCTTTGTCTTCAAGCTTCGCTCACAAGACTTGATTGCACTACTTCCACCCTAGAGCCCGAACTCCAAGGGCTAAAGCCCTAAAGCTCAAACCCTAAATTCCAAAACCAAGGAGTACAACGTTCTCCGTTTTGGTGGGACTATCGACCTGGCCCAAGACATCGACCAGTTCCGACGCGCGATCGGAGCGCCGAAGATGTCTATTTATGGCATGTCTTACGGTGCCTCTGCAGACAAAAAACTTGAAGCCCTCTGTCTACAGGGCTTCTGGAAATGTTTGCTATGTTTGCTTGGCTCCTACAGAACAAGCTTCGAGAGATAGGAAGCTGCATAGATTCCGCTTGCCGCAGTGTGAACCCGCTCAGATGACCACTTCCCGAGTCCGACTCTCTAAGTTGGGCTTCGGGCTGTAGAGCTTCAGCAATGTAAGTTTGTTTCAGGGATGGAGGCATTGGGGTGTAGTGCCTACAGCCTTCCCTGGTTTCAAATGTTCGGTGTGTTTACTGTCTGGGATTTCGAATGTTCTCACCTTCTTATTGGGCTGATTGGACGTAGCAGATTCGGAGTCTTGCTTTCAGGTGGCACACCAGGCTGTAGAGCTGAAACCTGGGCGAGGTACTGCGGTTGGGGGGTCGTATGGCACGGTCTTCCCGAAGTACGTGGGACGGTTGGTCTTGGATGGAGCAGCTCTGCAAAAGAGCATCGAACATGATGCTTCTTCAGGCTTGCGGCTTCGTGTTTTGAAGTTGGGACCAATTTGGCCTTGGAACTTTGGATTGCGCCAGCAGAACCCTGGAGCTCTTCAGGTACTGCATCGCTTCTTCCAGTCCAGCCGACCGGGCAACCAGTTCACTCCTTACCTTCCTGGGCCCCTCCAAAGTTCTCTCTGCCAAACACGCTTCAAAGCCAAAATCTCAAGCTGGTAATCAAGGTTGTTTGCGGAAGCAGAGTGACATGATCAACTTGTTTGCAAGGGTACCTGACACAAGAATTTCATGTGCCCTGCCCATGTGCATGCTTGAAGCAGCCAGTTAACCTAAGATGCGAACAAACCTTTTTACAGAGTGCTTCTTCAGCATGGACCAACATTGGACACTAGTAATGGTGCTAGACCCTAAATCCCAAACGCAAAGAGCAGCATCTTATTGCACTTTGTTGGGGATTTAAGCCAGGTTCTGCGTTCAAGGAGGCTCTGCTGTTCTCGAAGTTCGGGGTACCAGGCCATTTAAATAAGATCTCCTTGTGTTCAAGATCGTCTTCCTATTGTCGGAATCTCCATACCAGCAACAAGTTTCGACCCTTAGCATCCCTTAGCCCCAAGTCTCAAAATACCGAGATCGCACTTCCTTCTCCAAACAACCCGAGCACCACTTAGGTCGTTGCCCCTTTCCCGGATGTGGAGAGGAGAGGCGAGCTTTTTGCGAGGCAGCGATGCATTTTGTGTTGGGTCTACTGAAAGGGGACTGTCGCGTGCTTCTTTACCCCTATTTTTTGGCAATGCATAGTGTCCTAAACCGTCTGCAATGGGCGAAGAAAGAGCGGGCAAGGCAACAACAGAGAGCATTAAAGACCAGATCTGATTCCTGTAATAACCCTAAATCGGCTGCCAGGGGCATCACTGCGACCTGGAACGGTATCACCTCAGCCTGCGACCTTTCCGTCCTCGACCCTCGCATCAAAAGTGTGGATGTCAGCTTGAAAGGCCAAAAAGAAGAGTAACTCAACCCGAACAACGTGATTCTGGAGTCTGGAGTGAATATTTGACAGGGCTTGCTGTTCCCGGCAATTCATCGGCTACCCACCCAAAGTCCTTTGACCTCATAAGAACCATAGATTTGCAGGGGCCGAAGAACACGTCTTAGTTGCATCGGCACGGACGT